TTGTTGTATGGCTGTGAGACTTGGCCTATTCGATCAGCGGACCTGAGACGTCTTCAGGTGTTCGCCAATCGTTGTCTCAGAACCATAGCTCGCGTGGGTTGGTGTCGGCGAATCCGTAACGAGGCAGTTAGAAAGCGTGTTTTCGGTTGTGTAACGGGTACTTCCGTTGAAGAATGTGTCCGGGACCAGAAGCTGCGTTGGTTGGGACATGTGGTACGTATGCCGAACTATCATTTGCCGAAGAGAGTGCTGTTTTCCATGCCCAATTCGGAGTGGCGTAAACAGAGAGGTGGCCAACCCTTGACTTGGCGGAGGAGTATGAAGGACGCTTGGGTGCTGTCGGTGCTACTCGCCTTCCAGGATGGGGACCGCGTGATCCTCACTGTGGCTGGTTGGAGACACTACAAGATATGACTGCCAACCGATGTCAGTAGCGTTCTTGTTGTGAGTTTCTATCCAGATTGCCTGAATGAATGTCTGGAGGTGTAGGCACCTCGGAATGATTGTGTTAAGCCAGCACTAGGTCCCTCCCCCATCCACCTTTATCCTTTTCTTTACAATAAGGCTTTCAAATAAGTCATGGTTGTACGGCAGTGAAGCATCGGTGTTGAACGTTGACGTCATGCTGTCGATGGTGATGTGGGAAAATGGGTTAGATAGCTGCGCATTGGAGGCGAGAGCTGAGGTGTGTGGATACAGCACTGTCTGTGGGCTTTCAAGTAGAGCGATTGGGAAAGGAGCCATGCATTGAAGGCAATAGTCGGATGTCCTCGAGATTAGCAGGTTTTATTGCTGACAGAGAGGCCATACCAGTAGCTAGCGACTGTGATGACGCACGCAGATCCATCAAACACCGAGTAATCACTGGTTTGAAGAATAACAACGTTTGATTTCGAAGTTCCAGGGGGTGGTGAAGGCTTTCGCTGTAGGCAACAGCCGCGCCATGTTTTAACTGATCCGATCGACAGGCCAAAAGAAGGCAGGTATCAGTGAGACAATATGCGAAACAGACGGAACAGCAATTCACCCCCTCAATCATTGAGCGGTGGGGTGAACAGTTCAGCTGGTCTCCTTCAACACAACTGCTGGAAGAACCAAGTGAGCCGGAATGCAACACTGACACCAACTCGCCATCAGCAACCGAAATCCAGCGTGAGATTATAATTCTGGTCCGGATGGCCTGCACTCTACACTCTTCAAAGAAGGTGGCGAGACCCTGGTGAACAATGTGCCAACCACACTGCTCCTTCTGGACTATATTGCCGGGCTTAGGTGTTCAAATCACCCTTCAAGACGCTTATATCCAATCTTGCTGTAACACCCTTCCGGTGCCTAGCTGCCACGCCACTCGAAAGAAGCGCGAGGGCTGGGATACTGCCAGGTTGCCCAAGCATAGCCAAGTTGAGTTGAGATGCAGAGGTCGGGTTTGAACCACGGACCTTCTGGTTAGTAAATTTGTACTCTTACCACTTGGGCCATCTCGCACCGAAGATACTTTGAACCACGGACCTTCTGGTTAGTAAATTTGTACTCTTACCACTTGGGCCATCTCGCCCCACACCGAAGATACTACGAACCATTGCGCCAGGATAACCGGATACCCGAAGATTGAAATGTGGGACATTTGAGCTCGTCTTAAGCGGTTTGAGGTGCATGACTGAATTGGGGTCATGTATGCTTGTTTTGGATACAACGTGCATTGACGGGGTGGGATGTCTGTTGCTCAGTGTGACAGAGTACGGCAAACGAACGTCGTACTTTGGATCAGGTCTCTGAAGTAAGCGATTATTTTGGTTTATTTTACTGAGCGATAGTCTACACATGGATCAATGATGATGGGGCTGAAGGATGAGTTGATCGCTGTGCACGTCCGGTGCGTGTGTGGGTGAATGAGGGCTGATGGACGAAGAGCTGCGAGAATGAATGATACTTTTGGGACGCCCAGGCCGAAGAAGAGGGCCCGTTGGTCTAGTCCACCCAAGTGAAGTAACGAATTTATCGTTCTTCTGTAACACCCTAGCTGTCACGATTTGGTTCGAACCACAAACCTTTCGGTCTGTAAGTTCGTACCTTCACTACTGAGCTATCTCGAGCCCTGTACCCCACCTTGAACCTTTGATTCAAAGGCCTGGGCCGCCATTCAGCGGTTGTTAGAATTCTAATGAGGGACTCTTCCATGAGCCATTAATCGGACCTATTTTACTGCAGAAGGCTGGCCTGACCCCCTGGGGGGGCTATCGAGTGTGACATATTTTTCTGACCGCTCATGCAGCTGCTCACAACAGATACCTTCTGAACAGCACTGGGCTCTGGTTTAAGGCATTTTAATCGTACTGAGTGGTGCACCGGTGATCGCGGCTGGTCGGATTTCGTGGTTTATAGGGCCGATCTGTTCCGATCCACCCTTCTGGGAAGACAGCGTAGCTTCTTCCATAAATCTGGATGTTTGGTCGCCAGGGGAAACATCTTGCTGCGTTCCTACTCCTACCGTAGATCACCACGATTTTGCCTCTAAACAGCCCCTACTATGGCATGGTCGGAATTGAGTTGCGTACCCCACCAGGAACGATAAGTTTTTAACCAGGTTCTCCATCGGTTACCGACAGCCACCTTATCCAGTTGAGTCCGTGACTGTTTTGCGGTTGGTGACCTGCAAATAATTGAGTACTTGTGCTGAAATTTCGTGCTAATCAGAAACAGCATACAATTGAAGCAGTTGCTTCCCATTGTGTGTGTGGTCAGCATCCACCATGCACGTACCACCCAATTCCGTTTCTTCTAGACTTAACCGTCTTACTTCTCGTACATATCACTCGCCCGGAAAACAATATTTGTACTCGCTGACCGAAGTAGTCGAGATGGATCTCGATAAAATCCATTTTTCTCTGCTTCGAGGCTGTAGCCTGTCAAGGGCGTACGCAGACACGACAAAACAAACACCGTTTACCGCATCGATCCGCGTTGTTCTTAATTGAACCGTACAACAAAAGACTACCGTTTACCGTTCAGTAAAGCGTTTTCATCCCAGGGACTGAGTACAAATCTCACGCGGCAGATACCACGAGATATCACCAGATATTTGAAAAATTAAACGGGACCTACGTGGACTCTTGTATGTGTGCTTCGGAGACGCATACACAGACGGAAAGTGAAAACATTTTCTGCAAGACGTGTCTGTTGTCGAAATTAACAGAATAATACGGAGATTGAAGACTGCAACCTGGATCAGATCTTTTGAGTCTAACATGGAACTATTCTGGTTTACTTAACTGTGTCGTAGTTGTCGTAGATGTAAGCTATTCCTGTAGATGGGTTTGACTGGTGAAACAAACAACCGCTGAAATTATGTGGGATCTGCACCATGACTGCTAAATATCTACACTGCAGGTCACTCCCGAACCCGGACTTCAATCGTCATTTCAACCCTGACAGATAGCATCCGCAACATTCCAATATGGCGCACTCTCAATAATTAACTTAACAACTCGAGTCCAGAGCACGTGAGTAAAAAACACCTGGGTTGCGGATTGGAGTGCACAGACTACAATACTGATTTTCATGTGGGACCAGGTATGCGTGTGGAATCTGTGATGAAGTCAGCTTTGTAGCTGTAGCGTTATTTACATAAGTACCTGCTGCATTTGGCCAAACAACTACTATGCAATTGCTGATTCAAGCAATTCCGTCGTTGGATGAGATTATAGACGACAGGTTTACATTAAAATAGCGGCATCATTTTTTCAACAATAGAAACCCGCAACTTTCCCTATTTTCAGGCCTTGATTTCGCATACCACCCCGTACTATGACGTTTCATCGAAATCCTAAAAGCATCTCACGCGCACTTGTCAACACGAAAATATGGGGTCGAAAGACTCATAAACAACATCATCGTTATTATAATCTTAGACCATAGCGCTGGCTATCTCCCCTACCGAGCTTCCTAACTGACTGCATTGGCCCTTAGATCACACGCAGATATTGGGTTGATCTGTTTTCCAGGTTGTATGCAAGTATCTCCTCTGGTTTCAATATATGTGACCAACGTTATTTACTAGATAGTATGGAATTAAAAGAACGGTTCAGACCAATTTTAAGTCTGTTGTTTCTTTCTTGCGTCGGCAGCCACGTTACATATTCCGTCCCACAGGAAAATAGCAGTGACTTCTCCGGAGTGACGCACTTCTGTTTGCATCTTCTGCGTGTCAGAACACAATGGATTGCACGTCCATCCTATTCGTTCTCTGCATTTTAGGTTTGTACCACAACCTTTTTAAGGAATCCGTCTCATCCATGCATTCCATCGCCTATGTGACATGTCCGAACGAGACTGTAGCAAACAAAATCGCGTCACTTTTAGTGACATCCAAGTTGGCTGCCTGTGTCAACATAATCCCTTCGATTCAGTCCATCTACACCTGGAACGGGAAAGTCGAAAAAGACTCTGAACTTTTGCTCCTAATCAAGACCCAGACAAGTTTGATGGAAAGGGTGATCGAAACCGTGAAATCCAATCATCCATACGAATGCCCCGAAGTGATAGCGACGGAAATTAAGTCTGGCTACCCCGGCTACCTTCAGTGGATCACAGATTCAACGTCAAATTAATCGCTGCCTAACTACGTAACATTGGATAACAGTAATCCACGGCATCTTCTTGTCTGTTTCCAACCGGTTGCTTATTTTCCCAACCAAATAAAATTTCCGTCTCCTTTGCCTTCTGACAAGTCACACGTTTTCCGCTGATTGTTTCATGCACCTAACCGGTTTCAGATATGGGTGGAGTATTTTCATCGGATGACACTAGGGATGTGATCTTTTTGCCGGAAGATATTATCGTAAGTCTCCCTACCTCCAATATGGTCGATCTTATCAGGTCAGTCCAGCCGCACAGGAGCGTCTAAAGAAGGCGTCTCTACCTGGAGAGCCTCCGGGTAAGGTCAGTTTAACCACCCTCAAACTTCACAGAGCCTGTCCGCAGCTCGGATTCAGATTTGAGTTTCCAGTTGAAATACGAACGCGAGTTAGAAAATGATTATAATGCAAGACTACGGCTTGTCGAACAAAGAGTAAGTTAGATGCTTTTATCATCTCAGGTGCAGTTTGCAAATACAGCGTGACCCATCCGCTTCAAATTCTGACTTGTGATTTTTAAGTAAAACCTTTTTAACACTTATTTTTTGATGAAATGAATGTACCATCACTAGATGTGTGCAAACGCTTTACAAGCGCATCCTTCTGTTCACGGTGACTCCGGTTTCCCAGCACCCCAATATTTGTACGATCGGATACGACGCTGCAAGCCTATCGACCGATTGGCGTACGAGGTATATAGCTTATACAGCCTAATCAGGCCAGAAGTTAAACAGGCTTGTGGGGCTCAATGGACCACGCTCGGTATTTTCTGCATTGAGTCGAAGAATACGGTACTCTCCCCTGCACAACCTCGAGAAAGCTAACCTAGTCAAGTCGTTCTAGGGGGTTGATCCCAGAGTACCGAATGACCTGAAGCCTGTGAGTGCCGTGCATAGTCATATTAGGCAGGGTCTTTACAGGAAGGTTCGTTGGACAGTGGAAATGAATGTAGCGGTTTGTATCTATAATTTTGAGTCGAATGGTAGCGTACTCATTCACTAAGCGTGCCGAACTCCTAGTGATAATCTCTGAGTTTCTTGCCTTCTACCGTAATCTTTTTCGAGGTGTGCGTAAGTATATTGCTAAGAGATGAACCCATCTCTGAAGAATATGTAGTAGTTCAATTTTTATGTACGACAGTCCGCTCTCCGACAGAGCACACTGTCACGAACGGCTAAAATCATGTTTTCCATGTGTGCTCCTTGTTGTGAATGAGGTGAACTTTCTCAGAAACTTAGGGAGGAACCTGTAGATTCTTACAAGTATTGCACTTGTATGCCCAAAATAAGCAAAATTTAGCTGAGAAGTGGTTGGACAAGATAGCTGTCTACCATCTACGTGAAGTTTCATAACCGCCTCCCCCCCAGTCTGCCGTAAGATAACAGGCACTCCTTAATGATGGGTAAAAGTTCTGTTGTGCGGTTTTATCTAATGATACTCTCATACGACAAAAATAACGTTAAAAGACGGCCAAGAAATTTATTACATTATGCATACTTGGTTATAAGGGATTTGACGAGTGAGTGAAAACGGACTGACTGCCTTTTGTCGAGCTCCACATCATATTTGGTTTTTAGCTCCATTATGTATTTTTCCTTGCCATATCCTAGAGAATAAGATGTTTGTCACGCACCCTAATCATGATACTGCATGTCTATGTAATCAGAGATGCCACCACGCAATTTAGCAACAGTAGCACATCCGTCAGTGAGCGAAAAAAGCGGTTCTTAATTGAGTTCGCTAGCCGTCCAAAATCATACCTGGCATCGTAATGGCACGACCTACTTGAGAGATAGGTTCCCTTGGGTCAACTTTAACCAGTTTTTCACGAAGTGGAGCGTTCAGATTTAACAATTTTGGACACACCGGTGGACAAGTTTGTATGGTTAGTTACTTTTTTGAATACTTCACGGTTATCTTGCATATTGGGGCGAGATCTCCTAATGGTTATAGAGCGGGCTTACTGACCGAAAGATCGGTGGTTCGAACCCGACCTCTGCATTCGGACTTCCCCTGTCTAGGCTTGGGCAACTTGGCAGTATCCTTCCTTCGGGTGGCATGGCAACTAGGCATCGAAAGGGTGTTACAGCTAAACGATTATCTTCGTATTTATCATTATCCTGCATGTGAATACATCTAACGTCTGCAATACGCTTGATGTTTTTGACGAGAAAAATGTTGATTGGCCTGACTCGTTCGAGGACAATAAGTTTTATCGTTATCCAAAATTAGGATAATCTCCACTTGTTCACGTGCAGCCGAACATCCAGTCAATACGACGGGATTTGTACTCTTCGAACGGCCTCATGTACGATGGCAAGTCTCCCGGAGCATTGTATTTCCGCTCATCCGTACGAAAAGCGGTGAATTGTATTGCATAATCGAAAGACGATCGTCGGCAGTTTCAACTTTGTTAACAACAAAGCTTGCTTTGTCAGCAATGAAAATAATCTTATAATTCAGGAATTTATTCTCCCGGGCATGGGCGACTTCATTTGAAATTTCCCGGGCTCAGCAATGGGATCACGTACGCCATTTTCATGCCTGTTCGGGAACTGAAAGACCATACTTAGCCGACCCTAAAATCCAAATTACGTACAATTTGTCGATTACCTGTCATGCGACGACGGACACCGATGCGTGTTACTTGTGCATGTCATTGTTCACTCTACAAAGATCCACTAAGTTTTCATACAAACTCCAAGATTTGTTACCAATGTTACGGTCCCTATTTGCTGAATTTTTTTGAATATTTTGTTTCACTTTGTCTCCGATCGCGGTCCGCCCCTAAAAAGCCCAACTGCTCCACAGTTGCTCTGGACTTCTGCATGGGCTACCAGACACCAGCCAAAATTTACGGACTCCAAGTTTAATTGAGACCTTGCACTTCTGGACATTTCCATGATACCAACGAGAGTTCGCCAACTGATCGTTGGCCTGATGAACCCGCACACATGTTTCGCTATTCTTGCCCTGTGAAAAGCTATTGAGTGACCAGATTTTTTCAGGATTATAGAGAAGTACGGTCACTTGGAGTCTTGTTCATGAACTGTCCAGAAAATATTTAAAGTGGTCGATCCTGTCTACTTTGTGTTGTGTTTCTGGTCAGCACGCTGTAATCTACTTAGAGTGGCGCTGTTTTTGTGGAGGCACAGTGTCTTTCTCAATCAGAGTCGGCAAATTAGGCGTTATGGGGAAGTACTACTGCGAAAATATTTCTCTTGAAGGAATAATCCTCAAACTTGGGCACCATGGAATTGAAATCAGATTATGCATATAGTGCTCGCCGTGGGTTTTTTGCCATCAAAATTGTTCAAACATGACCAATCCCCTCTTAGTAACAACGACTGGCCCGATAAGCAACGAACACTAAATGAGGAAGGCAGCGGTTACAGATTTGTGTCCGTTTCATCAGTTCCAGAACATTCTAAGAAACCAACCAGCCGAATCAAGAGTACACCTAGAAGAATCCGTTATCGATGTTGTCGACAGTAAACAAAATGTAAATCGACCGTTTGAAACGTTCATCTGTTTCGGTATCGTCAATCGAACCAGCCATTGGTTGTTTATCTGTTCTTCGAGTTTGGCAGTTGGGTTCCAAATGTTCCGTCACCAATCGAAGTGACATCGTCAATGCAGCGTTGAGTGGGTCATTTACTACAGGAGCGGACGTGCTGACGCTAAGATCAATCCATAGTCTTCTCGTTGTGAGAAGTTCCTATCTGCGATTCCATGCCGATAAATCGGTATTGAAGGCGAACTTTTGTATGAGGTAGCGAGTGTAAATCCTCATACTCATCTTCAGCTGTAAACCGTGTGCATGTTGTACAGTGGTTATAGCCATCACGGCATTCAATTGCTTTTGGAAAATTAGATCTGTATTACGACTGGTTAATGAAGTGAACTAACCATGATGCATTGATGAGTTAGGGCTATTCAAAGTGAAGAAAGAGTCCCAACTAGAGAGAATTCCTCGCGCGACACAACTGTTACAGCCGCCCTAACTTTTTCTCATGACCATCGTCTCCCGCTAATTTTATTCTCGTCCCCAGGAAGTGTGGAAAGGGGCCTATTTGAGGACCCCCCCCCCGCCCATAATCCATACGTACGTTTTGCTGGTGCTAATCTGCATTGGTTATGGGCCTTTAGCGTGGAGACCTCGCTTTCATACTCAGTTGTATGTGAGTCAGATAAGTGTTTTGACCCACTCAACATTCACTAGTAACTTTTATTTTCGCTTACTACGTTGCAGAATGAGGAGCTGTTCAAACAAGCAGCCGAAGAGTACACTCGTACAGTGGAGCGCTTGGAAAATAAGTATATGTAAGTACATAGATTATCTGGTCTACTGTCTAAAGTTTTGCTGCTATCCCAGGCTCCTGTTCAGCATTACGGCTGCACGAGAACACCCAACTGATCTCACATGTACTTGTTAATAAGACCAACGGAGAAACGGTTTTATCTGACATGCAGGTGATCCACTGATGTAGCAGCGTCTGTTTATGACTGTTGTGTTGCTAGCGTGCTCGTCGCTCTCGTACGTGTTTTCCTGATTCTCTGTATCTGTAAGCTGGCGAATCAATGACCTCTAGATGTAGTAATTCCAAGAGGTCATCAAGGTAGATTGATGAAGGCCGCTGTTGTGCGCTCTTCGTGGAGAGTTATTGCAATTCTATCTCTATCACAGATGCAACAGGATCCAAACACATATTAGAATTTCCAAAGGCATGATTTTGTCCCTTTTGGAAAGCACGGTGGGGATGAGCATTATCACTGTCCGCAGCTGAATGTTTGTGACACATGAGTACTGATGCTACCGCGTGGAAGATTCGTCATCTCTGAGTGTTCGGCTGTGTGAAGCATTCGATAGTCGGTGAACCTAATCTAATTGGAGGATATTAGGTATGGTTACGTGAAGGCAGTCATCTTTTGATTGACTTTGTAGTGTGCTACTAACAGGTTTGACCAGATCGGGATACTCTTCACGAACAGACTTTAGACAACTTTTCCAAAGGAGAAGTTGACAATCGCAAATCACTTCGTATATACCTCGAGTTCTAGTACTACTTTTGCGAGCATAAAGTCGCCATATTTATTTGTATTTTCCAGGCGTTCCACACCAGGTGGGTGCTGTACAGCCGCAGAACAGCGTGTAGAAGATTGTTACAAAAGCAATCCCGGACGTCCTCTCCAGTGTTCCCAACTCGTAAAAGAGTATATTCGCTGTGTGAACAACTTTCGGGTGGTATGTAGCATTCATTATTTCTGTATATTCATTGTTTTACGGACTGTTTTGTCCGGAGTATGTTGGCGAACAAACGATTTTCACACCACTTGCTTTATTGTGACCCTCATACACGACTGAAGTTTTGTGGTGTTTAACAAACGACACGTATTTCCGGAAGAAGCGGAAAACCTTCAAATAGAAGCCCAAAAGTATATCGCAAACTAAAAGAAAAGCCGCGGGAGACGGGAATGGAGCCAGCAGGCTCCTACTCCCGATTGACTCTAAACCTCACACTTCACTGGTGCCTTTGTCTTATAGATCAAAACACTAGTGACGTTGGTGAACTTTCAGCCCGAAAGTGTTCTGCTGTTCCTTGGGACAACAGATTGATGGGATCCTCTGAAGGTATATATGACTACTTTGCTGCGCATTCTCGTTGACGCCAACGATTTCTCTCAAGTGACCCAATTAACGAAGATTCTATTGATGACCGGGGTACTTGAGCATCGTGTAGCCTTGGGACTAAATGTCGCTGGTAGGTAGCTCACGATGAGAATAAAATGGGAGCGAACCCCAGTGAAAACCAATCGCCAACACCGTTGATATCTGTGTCGTTGCGTACTGTACTGGGAGTTTCTTATGAACGATCTCCCTCCCCCATTACATTGCGCCTTTACCTATTGATGACACGTGTAAGTACGCCTGTGTTGATACTACAGTTACGAGTCCTCACGATGCGCCTGTGAAGTGGTAAATTCCAAACAGCTCTGCTAGGGGTGTCAACCACTCACTGGCAAATTTGAAACACTTTCCTTCAAGGTACTTGAAAAGGGGAGCCTGGTTGTATCGCAGCCCTTGCCTTACCCACAGACTGCTTATTCTGCACACTCGGGGGTATTTTATTGTACATCTTATTAGCAGCAGTAGAGCTGTCATAGCAATTAGCCTGATCAAGTGTTCACATTCGAATTTTGCTGCTGTCTTTTGTGTTTCAGGCCACCGCTCGAAAAGAAGTCAGCAGCCCAGCCTAACACTGCCGACGGTCCTGTTGCTTATCATCTCCTTAGGAAGTTGTTTCGAAAGAATATATTTTTCTTAGTCTCTTCCGTGTACCGGTTCTGATTTCAAAGACCAATGGCAAAACACAAGTCATTTCAGAAATGCATTTTTTGCATTTGATCGAAGGTCTCTTTGGTTCCCGCTCACGAAAAGATATTGTAAGTGTTTCATGTAAAACTAATAGATGTGGAGGAGTAAGTGGGGAAGAAGCATGTATGCATATATGTGGACAGCCGGATTGATACTGAAATCTTTTTTAAAGCAAGTCGGTTTGAATGAGAAGTATAAGTAAGTTAGTTGTATCTGGCATGCGTGTGCGCCGCCTTTCTCTTCAAGAAGGCTTCGAGGTTAGTTGTCAAGATAATACACGAAATATTCGGAAATGACAACTCTGGATTCTATCACAGATAATCACCTTTCCGGTGGGTCTGAGTGGGGACTATTTACACGAATCCATTCTCTTCTGTTACATGCGTTCGTCGGTTACTCGATAGAGTTTGATTCTTCCGAAGCGATTGGCGCGGCACCTTGGGACCCACCGAGGTTGTTCGCGTTCGAAGTCAGGTGAGCAGTGCTTCGATGTACAGATACTGTCCGAGCTCGGTGCAGTCGGTAGTAGGGTACACGATTTGTCCTTCGACGTTCGGCAAACTGAGAGGATGGAGTAGATTTATTAGTGAATGGGGAAAGCGTTTACCTTGTTGGTTTAGCAAAACCCAGCAGCAGCTAGAGATAGTACATTCGTTTAGCGGATTTTATTACCTTGCTTTCACGCAAAAACTACCGGGTGCTGAAAAAGACTTCAGGTCCGTCCAAAGATTGCATTTGAAATTTCTGCCGAATTGTTAAGTTGGTGATACTTTCTAATGGCACTGTCACCAGAAACATTGGTTAAATGAATAAAAAATGAACTTCTGATCGCAGATACGATATGTTCCAGAAAACGATTACGAGGATTGCTTTGGATGTTTCGCGATAATGGAAATGAAGTTATACTGCGAGGAGATATTCTTCGTATTTTTCATGGAAATGGTCTTCTGAATTTGTTCCTCGAACGCCTAGTTCATGGGTAATTTTGTTACAACCAGCCCGCAGAAGGTATTTATATGGAGCGAATAGATTTCCTCACTAGCGTGGCGTTGTATCTATGATCGTTTGCTGCCTGATTTCAGGGGTACATCAAACATCGAAAAAGATACCGTGAACTTCAGATTTTCAGTAAGCTGAACTGGAATTGAAAAAACCGACCTTTCAATAACAGAATGGTATACATAGCCATCACTGGCTGGAATCATCATTTCGTAGATTTTGATGAGATTGATTTGATGGTTTGGAACATGAGTTTGTTTCTGGTTTTCGACCAAGTCAAGACAGCTTTAACTCCGATTACATTAACTTCACACACTAACTGAACCATCAAAATCATTCACAGCAACACCAGATGAGAACACTGATGATTCACTGCCGTACAAGAATGATTTTAAGGTATATGATCGTGGCGGCCAGGTCAACTGCGAACATTACAGCTAGCAACAACGGGTGGGAAACGGATCTGTGGAATGAGAAAATCTGTCAGTGTGCAGTTCATGGTTGTATCAGGCTCGGATACCACCTAAGAAGGCGTCAAACAAAAGCTTTGGCTCAAAAGCCTAGCCTCAACGCGGTGTTGGTTGGCGCAGGACTGTAAGAGTAGCAGACACTTTTGAGAACTATGTTCCAACCTGGAGAACTAGGAGACTGGGATGAAAGGCTCCGTGAGTGCCACACGTACACTCCCCAATGTTGCTTAGTGGTGCTTAGGTGCACAAACCGTCACACCGAAGTGAGGTTCACTTTTTTCTTGATGTTAAACGTTCGGCTGACTGAAATGAAACTGCTTTTCATTGCGAGTTGTAACCCGCAACTACAAGCGCCCGACACACTGCACAACAGTGATCGTGTGCTTCGGTATTCTCACTAGTAGAGTGACAATTTACAGTATCTCGTAATCGTTCCAAGTCATTTCCTCATAAATCATACCTGGAGTGGTGCGAAGGTCAGGGCAACCAGACTTACATCGCCGAAGCTATTGAGTGAGACTGATCGAAGCTTGAGATTGTCATTATTGAAAACCGTTGTGTTAAATGGTAACGACGGAATTCCTACTTAGATTTACGTATGGATGGCTGTGAGAGGTATAAATTTTGCACACCAAGCGCCCTAAAAACGATCAAGACGTTAGATCACATGCAGCTCTGAAATTCGTAGTTAAGCAAACCCATTTCAATTCTCAGTTAGCTAAGGTGCGGTTTTCACCCGACTACTTGACACCTCTGGTTCTCAACCTTCCTTCATGATCCTGGTCTTTAATATCTTTCAAGCGAATCCGCTGCAATTGTGACTGCACACGCGGAGTTCCCGACTTGTTTTGACGCGTAACGAAGGTGGTGTTCAAATGTCTGCGATACGGACTACGTCATCGTCCAGACCTGTTCCACTGAATGAAACCAGGTTAAGCTGTCTTGAAGAAACTGAACATGATACTATTAAACACAATTCCACCCATGCATACGGGTGTACAACCGTCGAATACAGGGCACAATGATCCGATTTCCACCATTCGAATCAAGTGCCATATAACATGATACGTCAACCGTCGAATACAGGGCACAATGATCCGATTTCCACCATTCGAATCAAGCGCCATATAACATGATACGTAGCAGGTGCTATGGAGTTAAGAAAGAATGGGAAGAATGCCTAGTGTGTGGGAAAATGATTCGTCGAGTGAAATAAGATTGCGGAACCGTTGTGACGATAATTTGCATGTTCTATTTCACTAGACGATTACTGCAGTCTGCAAATGGTCCACACGGTGGTCCCCGCCTATTTCACTGAAAAAAGCTCGAGGGGAGAAGTGATGTTCATTAGTACAGATTATAGAGGAAGGTGGCTGTCTTCGAAAGATATTGACTTCCCGATTACGATCAAACTGGGTAGTCTTCTGTCTTCTAAATCAAACCTTTTTTGTTTCACACTCCAAACGGCCTTGATAATACTCCCACGCAGAAAGTGACACAAATTTGCGATTTATTCCTCGCCTTGTTTCTCGAAAATGACAGCTTGAAGATCTACTAATTATATCTTTTTGCTAATACTATAATTCCTGTCCAAGTTAGAAGACAGCGCTTGTGTTACTAGTGCGAGAAGCATAGGGAACCACAGTTTTCATAAAGAAAACTACTTGCAAGGTTGCTGAAAACTCTTCGACAGCCCACGACCGGTTTCGCCCTTCTTGGGGCTCATCAGGTAGGTGTAGTCCTCGAGTTTCCGTCAACCTTATGTTCTACTTGAACCCAAATTGGACTGTTTTTGAGAAATACACTCATTTGCAAATCAGTCATAAACGATAGATTCAGTTGAGTCTCTCGTGAAAACCAAATTGATTTGCAAATGAGTGTATTTCTCGAAACTTTTTTTTTGAAATGAATACTGCAAGACCTGATACGTGTTCCACCATACCCTACAGTAAAGGTTCAGAACAAGAGGAACTAAGTACGAGTAGGTTGTGTTTTGCGTAGAAAATCATATAAAAATTCCGGGATAGCAGTTTGTGACTAAAAACCAACCGTGGCATATTTTCTCTTCAACCAAACACCATTTTCAACAGCCGAGCTGTCTGTATGCCCAGAATCCCGCGAGTTCAACGAATAGGAGTCGCCGTTTGCCAGTTGACCAGTACTACGACTACGGTGTTGCAAACTAGAAAAGGGAGATTGGTTCAACTTGTTGATATCTTGACATTGATTCGGGTTTGGAGGTAAATGTATGGTTTCTGATCGGGATCTTGGAAGGTGGAGCGACCGTGGGATAGTTGTTGTAGGGGAATTAACATCGCCAAACAGTACGTTTTCGTAACTCGGTCGTCGACCAGATGCTGAAAAGAAGACCAAGAGAATACACCTTTAATAGGTTGTCGACGGGGAAAGGACTAGTGCAGACTAAGCACGCGGCAACGGGATAGAGGGAGGGCAACAACGTGCGCAACATGCACGAGGAAATGTGATCAGGAACCTATAAAAGGATGATGAGTGACAACCTTACAGAACTGATCGTCCAAGAGTAGACTGATTTGGGGGAATCATCGGGTTCTAATGCATGCCATGCTTCGGCAATCGGTTATGGGATCTACATAGGGTATGTGAACTGCACTCAAAAGGAAATTAAACTGGGCTTCCCATAGTGTGCTGGTCATGTCCTGCTGGCATTCTGTCGGTGTAATCAACAAAGGACAAGAAGGAGGATGAATGCATTGTCACGAAAAGCCAGGGACTGCTTCTTATCTTTTGACCGTTCAACTGAGTGACGCACACGTTACAATCTGTATTTTAACGCCTGCATGGGTACGATAACGTAATCGAGCTATATAGATGTTCAAGAAATCAGACTCATGCGTTTACCACCAATAACAGCAACATGGCTGAAATGGAAAGTCTAAGAGGGTACTAAGGAAACCATAGAACCTCAGCTTACCGAATTCGCTTCCAACCGGAATACATTGCACGATCTAGTAAAGAAAGTCTGGTTCTTGTGGAGGTGGAACTGAACAATTCGAATTTAGCTAAACCTCCGGATTGGAGTGGTTGCTTGTTTTCCACATGACAGCACGTAATCCCAAGCTTGGATGAAGATTATCACGAGCAATACAGTTCACCCAAAGATCACCCAAAACAGAGATTGAATTGGTTCTAACTAGGAGCACGAACCGTTTTCCGGCTGACCGTAGGGAGAAATATTGGTGAGTCTAGTCCTTAGAGTGGAAACTCAGTTACATCAAGACAAGGTGATGTAGGCAAGACAGCATAATGCAGCTGCACAAGTCAAGTAGAAACTCACCCATGAGGATAAAATAAACTCGATCGGCTACCTGCCTGAACAAGGAACACATCGCCCAACAGTTATACAATCACGAGAGGTGCGTTTCACACGCGCGCACACGGCAAAAGCATGTAACTTAGTAGACGTTAGTTTACTGCACTGAAAGACCTTGATGTCGTAGCATGATATCCTCCCCTCATTCAAATGTTACGCCACAGAAATCACCGATATGGTGATGCGTCTGTTTCCAGGCCGTTTGAATGTGTGGGCGTTCTTCTTGGAGCCTTTTTTGAGACAGGACCTATGAGCGTGCTTGCAACGCAAAGCGCAATCATAGTGTTACCGAACACAAGCAAGGTGTAGTAACGACATAAGTAATGTGGTCCAACTCATGTGCCATTTGTTCGAGTAAGGAACGTTCATTCGGGAATGAAAAAGGTATTGTCACTCAGTCCGAACAGGTACTGCAGCCCTCGGATTGCACTGCTTTTCCCGTGAGTGAGTCGATACAAGTCTGTACTACGTTATTAGCCACTTGAACAAACGGAACATTAAACATAAGTCGACTTTACTGAGTAGTCTAAAGTAACCCAATTCCGTCTCCCTATTGTTGCTGAACTCCCAGTACCCACGTAGACACCGGGGCATCGTTCTTCGTGGGTTGGAAGTTATTCAAATGAACATTCCGCTTCGTCACGGTAAGGATCGGGGGTCAGAGAGGTACTTCCTGGCAACTTTACTCACAGCTCCACAAGTGCGTACCAAACGATGCCGAGCCCCATATTTCAATTCACTGTCATTTTTAGAAAGTCGGTCATAACTGTTCAAAGTTTCATCACCGTAACAGCTCGAGATTATTTGGTGGTAAGTAGGCGAACTTACGGACCTGAAGGTCCGTGGTTCGGACCCAACCTCGGCATCCCGTTTATTCCTATCTAGGCTAGGGTAACTTGGTAGTATCTTAGCCATCGTGCTTCGTTTGGGTAGCATAGCAGCGACGCACCGAAAGGGTGTTATAACATCAGCCGTCAATGTCTTCAGATAAGCGAGATTGATTAGTAAATTTGATAGTTGTTGCACGGTATGACTTCCATGTAAGATTGGATCGCTGGGTTGTTCATCAGTGTAAGCAGCGTGAGATGCTATTGCAGCACAGCTCCATGGTTCGCATGCTGTCAAATGACATCGATCTACCCGATATCGTGGAAGTAACGCAGCCATCGCCTGTTCAACAATACCAATTCTAAGGCATGCGACAACGCAGTGAAGTGAATTGTATTATGCAGGCACCTAGATGCTAGAGAAAATATTTTTATTTGAAGAATAAAATTAGCTCTACAATGATCACCGATGACCACAGATGAGTTATGAAAAATATCTTTTTGTTAAGCATTCAATACTGTATTGCGGGTTGATTCGGCAAATCGGTATATTCTTATATGGTATGCATAACCTTAATGAAATGTCGTCAAACACTGACCGCACGTGGAGTCAATCTTCTGAACCCCGAAAACTCGACAGGACTGTCACACGTATGTTTGATGGTGGTTACCACACAAGTTTAGTATGCAACAGTGGACTTGCACTTGGTAAGGTAAGGTAATGACGTGCGATACAGAGGAAAACAACCTATGGATCCAGCTTATCGGGAATGCGTCAATCAGATTTGTAATTTTTTGCACAATATGCTAAAATCGGTCATCCTTGGGTGCTTGTTGTGATTGAAGTTTGCATTAGAAAGACCATCAGAGTGGCGTTTGTTGAAAGTTAAGAGTTGTTTCACAAAGTAAATGATACGGAACCGTGTGTCTGGAAGTAAGTTTCCTCTCGGAGAACTGTGGTTGGTTTCGCTTAAACGTTGGTCTTGTGAACGACAAACAAAAATCATCAAGGGTATGGAGGCAATCATGGAAAGTGCATCCCAATGGACACCTAGGACAATGGGTTTATCGGCTGTTGAGCGGGTGACTGTTAATCAGTCGGCTAAGCGTGGCCATTGGATGCAGATGAAGCCCGCATTGATGATGTTTCGTCAACTATTCGTCAACGACTCGTTAAAGTATCCAAGGCTACGTGATCAGCAACCACTGGAATTCCGCGTAATACCAACGCCTGTTTACAGACCTTACGGAATGCACTGTGAGTCCCGGTCCCTTATTGCTTTACCATTGGCTGTGACGTCCGGCGGGTCAACGACTCATCAGGTGACACATTTCGATAGTGACTACTCTGGTGTTTGTGAGCCAAATTAGAATTTCATTTACTTTTTGCCGCGGTGTGCACTTTTGATAGTGACGAAAAGCAGCGGACTGGAAACAGAAAATATAACCATACAGTGGCGATTTTATCACCCTCGAACGTAGGTAGGCGATAACTGAAAACAACCAACGGAACCCGTAAAGTGACTGGAGCACTATCAACTTTATCATATATGAAAGGTTCACGGGTGGTAAGTCATCCTAACTGCCATATCAATTCCATGGTAAGTTCAGTTCCGTTAAGTTTATCAGCTACAAACCATGTACCAAGGGGACGCTGCTACAGATGATTGAAAAGTGGGAGAGTGTGGGACATACAGTTAAACATGGCACATTCAGCCAGTTCGGGAACTGGGTAACTACGCATTTAAGGGGATAGCTTTGATGCACGGGCCCCAGTGACTGCGTGATTGGGCCATTTTTGCCATTAGTGAACTGAGTCCTGGGGTCCCCATCCAGGGGGGCGGCAGTTGTCGATCTACAAAGTTTACTGGTTAGTGTTTTCATACTTCATTCCCAGTTCGTGCACTTCTACTAAGCATAGAGCTAGTGCGAAAAAGCTCTACGAAGTATACGGTATTCTGGTATGTCCTAATCAGCGTAACCTATGAAGCGTGAATAACCCATCTGTCGCGGGAGAGTTCCTTATTTCTAAAACCATCTGGCGTGTATCTGAATTATTAATCCCATATTTCCACCAGACCTGACAATTCCTTCGGAGACACCGACGATCAAGCACTGACACCTTTAGTATGTCTCCTGCGCATAGAGACCACGTATTTGATCCATAAAGCAGAATGGATCACACTGGCGCAGTTTAAACTCTATACTTGACAGATAAACTGACGCCACATGGGCACCATAGGTGTCAGAGGTTGTAAAAAGCTTCCCTGGCCTTACCGATTCGAGAAGTGATCACATCTCCAGCTAGCCCACCAGGTAAACAAATTTATCTACCACGTCGATTGGCCACCTGCAAGCATGAGGTGTGGGTTTGATCCCACCCAGTCTTGTAGCAGCACTTTACACTTTGCAGGTGTGAAATGCATGCCAAACCGTGCGGCAGAGTTATTTAGGTTATTTAAAATCGTTTGCATTTGGGAAGGAGCTGAACCAAGGATAGCAATATCGTCTGCATATTCAAAGTCTGTTATGGAACGTCCCGGGAGCGTTTCGATTTCCGAGGTTTCAGAGGCAGGCAAAGAAATTCCAAGCAGTATATTAATAACAAAGTTGAAGAGGAAAGGCAGGAGAGGGCGGCCTGGTCTTACACCACTGGGCGTAGTGGATTCAGTGAAAAGCTTACCATATACTCATACCTGCCCAAAACAAACTCGCACATAGTGCCCCGATAAGGGATATAAATCTGGAAGGTACATGCTTAATAGCCAAACGGCGTCAAAGTTTCCGACGGTCGATAGAGTCAGATCTAGAAAAATGGCTAACGTTGGACGTCTGAAAGAGTGGTGCTGTTTAAGAACCTGTCTTACGGTATAGGTACGATCGATGCATCCTCGACCAAGGCGAAACACAGCTTGATTCACACGAACCTGTCTCTGTTGATAATCGATCAACGCGAGCAAAGCGATACCACAGAGTACCTTTGACACCACGATGGTTTTCGCATCACGTGGTAAATTATTATGTTAAATTAATAGTTTTATTCATGCGTCACTTGTTTTTTAGTAACTTGAGGTCCTGAAAAAAACAGCAATGATCATCGTGCACTGATTCTACTCGTGCCCATTTATCGATTAAGGATGGAAGTAGAGAAACGAGGCAAATTGGAGGCGAACACTGGTGCATGTCGGACCATTTGTAGCCTTTGCCACATCCACTGGACCAAGTAAAGTAAGGCTGTCAAATTCGACTGACATCCATTTTATATTGAGGAAGTTCTTATCACTCCTACCTACTACTATCGTCCACGCGGTGTAATTTTGTGAAACAAAAACAAAACAGGCAAAGTTGACAAAATTACTTCTGCATGCTGCTCACAACTAGGTCTCGTAGGTGAAATGTGGTACGAAATGTTTTTGGGGCTTCCACAGAGGTGAATCGCACTAGGTCGTTTGGTGCGCCAAATCAAAACAACAGTTACAATCCTCTGACAGATGTGTGAGCAAAGAATCGTGTGAAATGCAATCTGATTCGAATAGCACACTCACTCGGAAACGTCTGAGTTGGCTTCGTCTCCAGTTCCCTCTCCGTCAACGGCGGTGAAGAAACCCGATCAAGAGAGGAGCGAGTTTCTGTTGTCCTTCTATGTCTACTGGCCAAACGACGGTGAAGGAGGTTACCGGCAGGAGTCAGTCGGATTGTGCCAGCAGGAGAGGGTGCGAACAATCGTGAACCAGGGCGAATTGAAGGATTTCGCGGGGGGATCGGTGGAGGTGCACAATCAGTGTAGTGCGTTCCACTTCTCGTGGAACCACTCAATGAATTGAAAGCCCGGGTAGTGGGAAGATTGAGGGCGATAGCCTCGGATGCGACTGTGTCCTGGAGACAAAATAATAATGCGGATCGGTCGAATTATACCGGGTGATCGCTTCCTAAAAAGCGTGGGTGACGCGCCAAAGGACACTTGTTACGAATAGATTTGTCATGCTGTTATATTGCTCACTGTGCACTAGGAAACGAAGTCAAACGCGCACGCTTTCGGTTAGGCTAATCACCCAATGCAATGACGTGCACTTTATCAGTCACAAAAAAAATCCGATATTGGCTATACCAAAAAGTCAAATCCCATAACCTCGTTCTGCTAAATCGTGCAGGGTTCATNTTCGGTTAGGCTAATCACCCAATGCAATGACGTGCACTTTATCAGTCACAAAAAAAATCCGATATTGGCTATACCAAAAAGTCAAATCCCATAACCTCGTTCTGCTAAATCGTGCCAGGGTTCATCGTACAGGCCCCAGTTAAGATCGTTCGAATGCCGAGTGTGAACGTTACCGCTTTTAGGGGGTTGATTTGGAGGCGTGGGTGACACCCCCTCTATACAAAGAGCCAATCCCCATCTAACTGGTGGTTTCAAAAAAGTGCAAACTAAACTGACCTCAACCAGCAATATGGGTGGATCTTTTGCATCGATTCGTTGGAATGGGAATTCGTAACGAAATACGAGTCTTACCGGCTAGGTAATCGAAGATTCGCACTCAACTGAAGTGTCTCCGGTAAGTTGAGTCATGGCTTCCAGAGAGGCATAGACTCGATGGTTACTCTTCCTCAGTGACACCAAAAAACATCAGCTTACCAAAAGTCAAACGACACAGCAGCAAACAGATCTTCATATCACGCTGCAAAATGAGTAGACTGGACCGCATATATACGATTGCAGTGGCAATGCAAACAGTATAAACTTGCAGCTATACAACGACACTGTAGCGTCATTTCCGGGAGTGAATGCGATGCCGTGTCTCGAATATGTCTCCTACGAGTGGAAGGAATCCAGAAATCGAAATACCTACTGGAAGACCGTAGAAACAATTTCCACGGATAATGGCCAATTGTGACTTTTCCGATACAAGTTCGACAACAGCTAGTCTGATTTTAACGCTCCGGTTTTTCGCAATAGATCTGGAACTTGTTTTTTAGGTGTACAGTTATTTTCTACACTGCACTGGGGCGGAAGAGCCATTGCACCCATACAGTAATTCAGGCCTTCACTGCACTGAAAGGCATAATCGACCGCGAGACACCTGCCAAACTAAGCGGTAACAGCATGCAGATTAAACTTTCATTTCATTTATAGGCCTGGCGGAGAGAAGTGAATTGAACACAAGAGGGAATAGGATGTTGTAGCAGGAAACCTGCCCGGAGAATACAAAAGTCGGGACGAACAACAAACGGGGTGTGGCCTACTGGAGGGAGAAGAGCGAAAATAAGAAAAGCACGTGTCGCGCGTGCAGCCAACGATAAAAAACCAATGCAACTGCGTCATAGCCACGTGGTTGACGAAGGATTGGAAAGTCTCCCTGCACGTTGATGAGAAGCTCCATGGATGATGATAAAGAATAAAAAAACTGACATATGGGCACTGAAGGTGCCTCAAATGGTTTGAGATTTCAGGATTAGTCTGGTTGGCGACCGAGTTGAACCTCCACAGGCATTAGGACGCTATTCAGTCTGTGACCTTGAAGTATAAACCTACAGATGACGTGGAGAAAAGTATGCTCCACAATCCCCGGGCTGCCCTCAATTATACCGGGAAACATTCACCACTCAAGTGTAAAAAAGAATTTGCTCAGGATCAAGTAGTGGTCCGGACAGCCATGCATGAATGATAAGGGAGTACGAGCGGAGAAGAAAAAGAACATTCTCCGAATGATACATTTTCTTGATGTCTAAGGACGACTGGTGATGTGTGAAATCATAGTCCGGTGGACTTTTTGGTAGAAAAAAAATCATTGGCCAATGACCACCGTGTGGTAATGATACAAACGCAGTGAAAGGATTCAGAAAATTCGACGTTAAACAAAAAGAATATGTTATTCGATAAATAATCTCATTCGCATACGAATCTGGTTTTTGACAGAAGCTTCGACTGAATCTAGCTGAATGTCTCGTTTATGATGGTGCGCTTGAATTGAATGTAATGAAGATTCATAAACGACAGATTCAGCCGGATTTAGTTGAGTCAAATTTGAGTGCAAACGAGAGTATTTGTCAAATTCTGTCCAATTTAGGTTCAAGTAAAACATAAGATTGAAGGAGACTGCGCCTACTTGACGAGCCTCGCGAACGTCTAGAATACGTTACATTACAATAGTCTTGTAGACGTACCAGTGGAGGCCGAGGAGGGGCGGTGTCACAGATGCTCGTAGGAAAATCTTGTACAGGTCGGTGGTGAGATGGTGGGACAAAAACGGGGAGTATGGGACTTTCCAATATGGGTGGGGAAAACTCGTCAGGCTGAGATAACACTGTTCGGGATCTTGCTTCGGCAACTGTGATGGACTGCAGTGCCTGTGGAGGAGGTGGTCTGGGAGGTGGTTTTGGCTTTCGTTCAGGGGTCGACTGAGATGCAATTGTCTGGGCGTGCTTGACTGGCGCTGCAAGTGTTCCAAGGTAAGTGTCTGGCTTCCTCGGAGCGCGCCACTCAGTGGGGATATGAGAGAGTCTAAAAAACGGTAGAATATAATTAAGGATTGATCGAGCACGTTCTTAAGGCGAAATCTAGCCTAAGAAAACGACACCACTTTGTCTACAGAAATGACAGGAAACTGGAACAGTGTGAAGGGTTACACAATCAGGAGTAACAAAGTCGCAAAACTCATGAAGACAGATTTCCGACCACAGATTCCCTTTATCGTAAGAGCGACACCTCAATCCTAAGACGACACCAGCAGAGCAGCAGGAGTAACTACAAAGCACACCAAATAATGGAACGAGTGTATGTGGTAGAGGTTTTTAGCGAGTGGTTGATGAAGAGGATCAAATAATGTCGGAAGGAACCCATTGGATGCAGCTTACATTACCATCAAAGTGCTTGCTTACTGCGGAGTCAGTCAGAACATTCGATGAGGTTCTGCTTGGTTTACAAAGGTTTATTCAACAACCCGAAAAGAAGGCATCAAACTTTATCAAGGTCTTTCGGGAAGAAGACATGGGAACGATAGACACATGGAAAGGAAGGCTTAAGAGCACTAATAAGCCAACCATAGCCGATCACTATGCCATCGACATATTTGTACCGGATGAGGAAGTAAGAAATGGGTATGTCCCTTACGTGAGAGGGGAAAACGGAGAACAAACAGTACCATGAGGGATGTCGTTGTTAGTTGGAAAAGGAAAACAAGAGCGAGCAGCTACAAGAGTGAAGTGTGTATGGTTTGCAAAGTAGTCTTCCATTAACTGGGCAAGGCTCTGCTCACCTCCTGGGGCGGTGAAAGTCAGAAGCAGTAGGCGTCTGTCAATGCTGCTAATGGCGCTGGAGTGACAGACTGAGCTAGGTATGCAACATCTGTTACTATGGAACGAGGATGATGATGTGCGAATTGGTGCAACTAGTGGGTTCAATAGATTCAACAGGGTACCTTGTACTTAATTCAAGAACACGCCACAAAACAACTTTGCCGGTGTACGCTTTGTTTTCACCCACCAAAGCGGAGACGTTTTCCAATGAGAAAACTAGTAAACAAGACATATGTTGGTTCGCTGAGGGGCTCTAAACACGCTCTACACAACAAGGGTGACAGATTACGGAGAACACAGTATTCATCTGATTGCAACAGTATCATGCCGTGCTATCCAAGAGTTGATAGGCCTATAAATTCGCTACCGAGTTGGTATAGTTCAAGGTTGGAAGAACGCAGCTTCGGCTGTTCACCGCACACTTGTCTCAGTGCTTGCCGAATCTCACGATAGTTGTACGGCCATCGGCCGTGTTGACATAAATCTTAGTAAGTGGGTAGACTTCCACTGTGGTTACCCAAGTAAGCATTCTAATCTCCGTACAGCCTTCTCTTTTGTGAGCTTACTCCCTTTACCTCCTAAGCTGCTCAGTTAGTGAAGAATAGAAGCTGTCAGGTCTCAAGAGAGAAACATAATTCAAAGTAAAGTTGAGACATTTAGTCAAGTGCTGACAAAATGCCGAAAAATAATTATGATGAAAGGATACACAAAGATGCCGTACAAACTATGTCTTTAGGAAGCGTGGCGTCACTTGGTGCATGTGAGCTTTCCGTACAGTAACCCTAAGATGTTGTATACTGTATACTTCCGGAAGCAAAATAATCGGAGGAAACAAGAGGAGCGCGCTCGTGAGTAGTGCAGACATTGAAAATGTACACAAACACTGAGACTCCATCATCAATCATCATCATCATCATCTCCAGTCATGTGGAGGCCACGTAAAAAATACGTCACGCAAAAACGAACAGACATCTTCACTTCGCCGGTAAACACAAAAGAAATACTGATCAAAACAAGTCTAAATAGAAGCAGGAAAGCATGCCTCCAAGTCAAATAGTTCTGAGACTGGAGTACCTGGTGTAATACACACCTTTGTAAATAAAATCGATTAGTAATCAGTTAAAAAGCCGGAACCGCATACCATTGTAAAACAACTGACGCCTCTCTGAATATTCACACTGAACAAGTGGAGAACGACACCGGGCTCACAACACCATCACTCTTTTACGGAAGCTGACAAGGTGGTCCTGTCCAAATATGGGTGCAACAGGCTTTTCTTCGGGAACCAACTAGATGCGAAATGGGGGGAGGCGCAGACAATCAATCGTTCGTGTCTCCACGTTTTCGCATTTCACTAACCAATCTTCGTAGCGCATTTCATTTTTCGCTCTTATTTTAACCAGTAGACATGTACTGACCTGATGACGAGATCCCGAAAACATTAATGTTCGTCACTGTGTTGTTTCTCAAACCATGGGAATATTCAAGCAAATACATTATTTCTGTTTTTTTTTGGAGGACAAGAAGCCAGATAAGTGCATAAGGTTTCCTGGCGTCCTTTCTGAACGTTTACGCTCAAGTGCAACGACCCAAACAGCACGGGACGCTTGGGAAAACATAAATTTCACTAACTGGTGTCGTACGTAAGTACCGCAAGGCTAGAATCGATGTAATAGGACATGGTGGAGTTAAAGTGGAATGTGAGAAAATCTGCCGTAAGTTTCTGAGAGCTAAATTCTAAAGTTGGAAAACAAAGCCAACTTGAAAGCCTCCTCAAGAAAGAATATGAGTTTAATGACACGCAACTACTTCACCGACAGATTAGGGGACGGTCTAGTTATCGAATGTGACTATTTGAAGGGAACTGCTGAGTGCAATAAAGGTTGTCGGAGGAAAGACTTAAAGAAACGTCCAGACACTCCGGTACACAAAAACGTACTTACGACTAACTACAGAGAATGGTGGAAAAACGGCACCGTGAGGTAAGCCAGTGCTAAGAGGGCATACAGGCCATGAATTGCCTACGGCCACGGAAATAGCCCATTAGGAATAAACCGGGTGGTGTCTTTCTGTCGAGGGTAACAGAGGCGCTTGCGTTGTCCACAAACCAACATCTCACCACGCCACTATTGCTACCAAGCTCAGACACAACAGCTCTATACTTGGACCATACCATCAAACGACGAGTGAGCGTGCCAATGAGCGAATTGGGGAATAGTTTCGAAATCCCAAAATATTCACCATTCATCCCAATAGGATCAAATCAAAAGATTTAATTAGGTATAGAGATATGGAACCCATTGGTGCCTTTCTTTGGAAGTAGGGTTACGGAAAAGGACCTATAACAATCGGACATCTTTCCTGAAGAAATACGCAAACAAAAATTCTCGCCAAAATAAAACAGAGGATGGAGGTATGTTACTTTATTAGGAAGTGAGATAGTTCGGGGACTGATAAACTATCTAAGGATATTGCTGTGGCGAGAAAGACCTTGACTTGATGGATGAAATAGGAGGAACGGTACTGACATGGGAAAGAGAAATTCATGTCCAGCTGACCTGAAACTGTCAGCAGAAAGCTGCTTCAACGTATGCCAGAAATTGCGGCTAACGCAAAGAGAGCGTGTGCCAACCCCGCTTTGGTAAGATGCCACTGCTATTATCTCTCACTACCTAGTTATATCAGGCATTCCCCTCTTGACGACAAAGACGTTTTGACAAATAAGACGAGAATCTCTCAGCTCCAAGTGCGGACTGAACAAAGAGAGCCAGGACAAAATGTTAGGTGTAGACGCAACACACTACTTATAGGAACTCATACACGAGAGATTCGATTGGGTCTCCCATAAAAACCAAATTGATAGGCAAATGAGTATACTTCGTCAATCTCGTCTTCGAGTGAAACTCGGGGACTGCGCCCATCTGAGGGAACCCAAGAAGAGCGAAACGGGTTGTGGGCTGTCAAAGAGTTTTCGGCAACCTTAGGGGTAATGTGTTATTTCTACACAACGTATCGTGACACTGCCTTATCGTACCAACTGAAACATGATGCGGCCTGGTGTATTACATCCGACTGAAGAACACCATAAACGAGAACTACGGCTAGGATTCAGTTGAGCCTTCCGTGAAAAGTAAAATGGGATGGAAATGAGTGTATTTCGCTAAAAATTTAGGTGGTTCGTTATTTGCTCAGAGAATAGAGGGTTGAGAGTGCTGATAATTGAGGTGAGGTTTGACAATTCTCAAACTAAAAGCCATCGTGCGTAGGTTTGCCAGGTCTTCCTCCCACAAATTTAAAGCGGCTCAAACATGCAGTATTCAAAGGTACTAAGGCGGTGAGACTAACTCGAAGTTGACGATCAAGACAAGTTTTCTTGGAAAACCATCATGGAGGGGGAGTTGAGGAGGTATCTAAATGTCTGACCTCAGTCGCAATTATGGAGAAGCAATCGGATCATCATAAAGGGATTAATGGATAGTTTGCTTAATAGAACGAGAAGGCTAGCTGGAAGGTAAATATGAGCTAAAACAAGGGAATGAAAGTTGGACGAAACTGCTGTTGACATAAGATTACCTATAAGCTGATTGTCGGTGACCTGAAATAATGTCACAGTTTCACAGAGGAGCTTGGAGATTGTCTCACATAGTCAACAGCAGCAATACGAGCATTTCGGAAGACATGCAAATGATCGGAGTTCCCGACTTCTGAACAAATGCCGCGACGCCATATTGCGTGGTCTTAGTGCCAGCCCACGTAGTGCTTATTTTTATATCCGCGATGTTCCAGAATGGATGTCCCGAACGGATTCAACAGAGTAAGTCAAAAACTCAAATAAATATGCACTCCACGCGGCAACACGACTAGATTCTGGACAAATAGTCGTACGGTCGTATTTGTCCTTGAAAACAGTTGTTTATAGTGAAATATCCAGTCTAGGGTTCTGATACTTTGAATCATCAGAGAGTGCGAAGCCCGTTACTTGACTTCAAAAGTGCAAGGTAGTCCCTTTCAACTGCACACATGTCTCCCCCTCAAGCTGGCCTACCTAATGTGGTCCCAGATGTTCCAGAACGTTACTTTCTGTTTAGATAATTGTGCCCCTCTGACGAAAAGAAAACGGCCAAGAAGTCCGTCAATAGAATACATGTCACAAGGCAAGTAAAACTGCTGATCGGTGCACCTCCAAAGTAAAAAAAAAACCGCAATACCAAAACTATAACTATGGATCCCCATAATACAAAAATGGGTTATCGCCGTCAACCAGCACTATCTCCAAGATCAGAACATCTATAACTGAGGTGTTGAAGTTCTTTCTAACTTTTGCGACTCTGCCAGAGTCGATCGCAACCTAGAAGAGACCCACTTCGGTCGGTCTCATCAGGTGGCTCCCTTAGAGGGAGACCACTGATCACAGTTGGCACAGGATCAGTTTACAAACATTCGATCTGGTTTCGTAGCAGACTGAATTTGTGCAGCTTCTGTGGAAACCATCCATGGCAGACCAACAAGAACCAGTTAGTTTACATCTGAAAAGTTGTTAACCTTGGTAAGGTGTCTTGCTTTCTATTATGAGTGCCTGGTAATGAAGCGCCTTCATACGGTTTTGGTATGATTCCAGAAAGTACCGGCCATTATGTTGGAATGCTATGACCTGATTTCTTTAAAGTCATTTTGACGGGATTAAGTGGAATGCCCGGTGAGCTGCAAAAAGGAAACTGAAGGATTGTCATCCCATGATCCCTGGATTTCTGTAAATGCACCGGTGATAAACCTTACCCGAGCCAAATATGCCACTTCTAGCTCTCCACTCGTTAAAAACCACACAGCTAGCAAACACAAAATGCAACAACTACAAAGTTGGTCTTCGTGGATGATGGTGGCGAAAACAAGTAATCCAGAGCTCCCTATGTAGAGGAGCGATGGGACTGGGTTCCAAAAGTAGCGAATGCATACCAACGGGTCATGATGGTAATGTGAGCCGGTTTACAAACACAACTTATCCCTGACGCTTGTGCAAGTATAAACACATTCACAACCGGATCAAGTTTTGGAAGAAAAAACGTATCCCTGACGCCTCTCGAAGCCGTGGCTTTCTAACGAAAAGGTCTTACTTTAAACCATACTGATAACCATGGAGGTTGGCTTTTTGAGGTCGATGTTACAGCACAGGTCATATAAGCGAGGAGCGAATATCAATGCATTAGTTTCAATGTTACAGATGAAATCTGTCGCCTGTTTGCATGATCCAGAAAAAGTGTCCTCCATCTAGGACTAGTTAATCCGTTTCCTGTGTGTGGTCCTTGCTCGGAGGATCGAACGTATGAGGATTCAATGTGACCTATGTGAGGATTAAGCAGTATGATGGAAGCGATCACTTGCTATTTGCTTTTCCACGCGAAAACTCAATTTCTCGAAAGTTCGTAACCTTACTGAGGTTGGACAACGCAATTACTTAGCTGTATTTCCTGGTGTTATATTCTAATCAATGTTGGTTTTGAGGAAGGTGCATGGCGTTTTACCTTTGTCTGATGGCTACTTCCACTCTCGAAATAAAATGAGTCATACTAAAAGCTGAACATGAGACTAATGCTTTGCCCTTTGGTGCATACTTGCCAGAATAACTCCTCAAACGACAGTGGTATGAATTTGAACTTAATGAAGCCGACAACTATTCACAAGTAACCAAAGAGAAGGCATACAATCAAGCCACTAAGAGTGCGACCTCAGAAACACTAGTTCATTTATATCAAATCTAGCTGCTAGTTATTTCGTATGGTGCGCCAGAGTTCGTTGGTTGGGTCAACAGATTGCTACTGTCTCTACGTGAATTCTTCATCAGTAAACCTGTCTCCTTGCCTCCTCGAGGCATACAGTAGTACCTATAAGCGCCATCTTAATCCCTCATGTGACAACTTAGAAATTGTAAAGACTTTAAGCGGCTTACATTTTACTGTGCTCATTCCGTGCAATTGTAGAGGTTGGTCTTGGCAATCTGCTGGGCTCTCGAGTAGATTCTCGAAGTCCTGTGGCTGAGCCAGTTAGGGGAGAAGGCCTCACTTCTGGTAGTACGGACGGTCGTGGTGGACGGTAATCCACCGGTTGGCGTCGTGCGTCTACATCATCTTGGGTAAATCCGATTGTAGCCCGACGATCTATACCATTACGGGTGGGAATCATCTCCTGAAAAGATAAGTAGATTACATGCCCGAGTTTGGTAAGCGAAAGTGGTCTTCAGGATACACAACGGTATTAATCATGTGATACGATGAAAAGTCTAGAAATGGGGCAAGCGCATATTGTGAAAGGAAAACGCAGTGGCTGTCTTTCATGAACGTAAGTACCCAACAACATGAATCAGGCAGTCCAACAATGTGTTCTGAGAGGTTCGCCATTCTCACGTTACCCAATGGATTGTAGCTAAAAAAAGTCACACACAACATACCACCCAGAAAGGTGGAATAAGTCTCACAAGTTGCGCTATGTCCTGCCCAAAAGTGAGCTGACTGCACTGCTGATCAGTCACCCATAACCGAGCGACATAGTCATTGCAGGGGTGAATATCCGTGGAGGTTAATGATATGCACATAACTGATCCCCAGCAAGGATGACGTAGCCCTAGTAATTCTCAGCAGCGGACTCATTTCAATAACAGGATGAAACTTCTACTTCTTCTAGTGTTGTACAATGTCCGTTCCGTGCACTTCACTAAACGAGATCAACAAGTACTGGCCAGTTTTGCAGCCTATAGAATGGAGTCTTGCCAGTCGTGGGTCTAGACAATAAGATCGCTGTTTCCTTTCAGAACACCTGGAAAAATTTCGGTCCCCGAGGAAGTGTTGTGTCTCGCAAACGCTATTGAGAACCCTGTGCCGGTCCTTGGCTTCCAGTTTTACGCACTACGGTACGGCATGGTAACTTCAGACAGCCTCTTATAAAGTCGAAGCAAGACTGTTATGACTGTATTTATAAGGTTATCGTGGAACCTTCCACGAGGTCGAGTCAAGATTTTCGTGACGGAACGCGAAGCGTGAAGCCAAGCATGCTCAATAATGAGTGGCTCACATTCTGACCAATCAGGGCATGCTTCCGTACAGAGGTAGCCTGTTCGCTAAAAATCTGTTCCATTGATGTAACATTTGGTTATTTATTGCAACTCGTCTCCAGACAGGAAGAATAATTCCTACTTGACTTTATAGGTTGATCTTGTCTCAACAAAGCACCTTCATGGCATAACAAGTAGTGGATTGCTCACAAAACCAGTAGTCCTTGTGTCCCGTACATCTAACAAAGAAAAACTGAGTCGACTTATAACCCATTTCCACACAGTTTTATTGTTAGGAAATGCGAATCTGAACTACAAAGCGCTTTCTCGATAGTAAAGCGAATGGAAATCAGATCGATGTACAGAAATATAAGATCCTGGTATTCATAGGTCACTTGCTACGGATCACCCGGGACCATTTGGGTTACAACTCCGCAGAAATACTTATTCTTGTAGAGCGAAATGTGATTAATGTGAACTGATGCGTGCTGTACTCTGAAACCAGACTGATCATATGTGCTGGAAAACACCGTACTGATGTTTGACTAAGAGCTTATTTTATGTGCTGTATAAATATGCAATATGTCATTGAAAGTTTGGGAGGATCAATACATATACGGGTGAGATCGCAGGTAACCGTTGCTTTTTATTTACCACGCGACAAGAACACACGAAATGTTATAGCCCGATCCCACCGACATATTATGATATAACCATACACCAAGAATTGGAGAAACAAGGGCGTGTGCTGAGACTACAGTAGGCTCACCTTGGAACTCGAAAGATTTCGTAACGTGATGGCTTGAGCCCGAAGCTAATGAGAGGAAACAGGGAGGAGAATCTTTTGGATCGAACCAACCAACACGATCATGATACGTATGGAATAAATTGAAATCATACTAGAACCGCGAAACCTGTACAAGATGAACAGTGAAGCCCTGGGCTAAATAGGTTCAATGTTTTCGACACGATCTATCGCCTCCACTATTATATTAATATTTTTCGCTTTTTGTCTGCTGCCACCCGATACATAACTGTTGGAGCTGCAACCATGGCTCAGAGCTGAAGCACCATTAAAATGCATCAGTGAATAACTGTTCACAACGGAAACATTCAGCCTGGATAGCCTCACACAGGCGTAAGATCTACGAGGCTGAGGAGGCTGTTAAAGATAGATTAGGCGTTGAACACTGGAGTTCACCACGAAAATGGTACGTCCAAACCAGAAGTCTGAACATGCTTTCATGGTGAAGTGAAGTGCTCCTGTGCTTTATCCTCGGGCACGAACATCAAGACTCTTTTGAAAAAAGCATATATAGCACATACATGCAGACTTGCAGATGTGGTAGTACCAAACGAAGTCCCCACACCACATGATCATCCGTATTTCAGGCCTGACAAACATTTAAAAAAATGCAAATCAAGCAACAATCGCAACGGAATAGGATATAATAGAATGAAGGGAAGTTCACGAAAAAGTAACCGAAGTATTTGAACCAGATACGACAAAAAATGCCAATATTAGATGAACACAGTCATTATGAGCATACCTTTTGAGAGATATTTGCCCAACTGTATGCTGATGTGGCTGTGTTCTTGGGATACCTGGCTATGTTCTTTTGTTTGTCCCACGAACAAGGTTCACCAGGGTTCTTCAATTTCTTCGATTGAACCCATCGTTGAGTTCCAAAGCTGGGAAGGTCTACGTCAAGATAGTGCCCTCGGATAAGACCAGAGCCCCCATTGTTTGTTAAAGTAGATCCATTCAGCGTTACCGCGATGGGAACTGGTGTAGCAGGAGCAGAAACTGTACTGGATAATCGTTGTTTACGACGCCCTTCTTTGTTCGCACTGCGAAGTGTTGAACAGAAAGATTCGAACGCATCCGTGCTAGGATCGGGTGGGTTTCGAACGCGACCATCTAAAAACTAGTGCAAGAAGAAAACGACGTTGGAGTTTAAATTCTACAATTGTAGCATTCTACAATTCTACAATACTGGTATGTGACGTTTGGTAGAAAACGATAGGCCGCATTTTCGGCGACGGAGTCATGGCAGCAAGATACTTGAGAAACTGCCCCACACTCGTAAATTCCAGGTATTCATAGGTCTTGAAGCGTTATAAAACTGTCTCTGAGTACAGTAAATTCTTACACACGTGCAATCCAAAACCCCCGAATGGAACGCACATGAAGCGACATAATTTAGGATTAGTTTTACCTACTGCATTCGTTGCAAGTAGACAAGCATCTATAGTATTTTTGACGAAACGCGAAGGCTGCTGAAATAAATGCACAGGGGCTTGACCCTAGTGTTGTTAAACCTCTCAGTAAGAAGGAAAACAGACACTATCACTGGAGTCCAATACACGCTGGTCAACTAAGTCACATCGACAAATCTATCATGGGGGTCGTAGCAGTCGTCATTTCAAGCTTTTGTCCTCAATGCGTAGTTCTTTCATTCCATGCTTTGTCAGGCAAGTAGAACGGCTGAATACCAGTTAACCGATTAAGTCACGCTTTCTAATGCGTCATTCTCCTTATGTGTGATGGACTAAACTCTATCAGGAACGCGCGACTCCTCTGGTGGCATAATAAGTTGACTATAGGATGAAATTTTACGAAGTGTCCAAAAACACAGTGTTTCTAGAAGTGGCCAAAAGGGACAGTCACAGTAATGAGCCGTAGGACGTGCAGGAGAACGATCCCAGGGATAGAAGTAAGTCCACATTCGAAAGACCTACATGCTGGACGAACCTCCACAGAATTTCGTTTCTCTAGTTTCGTAACACAGTATCACCATTGTGCAAGAAACCTCTCATGAAAGAAAAGGTGCTGCGCTGCTTCGTATTTACGGGTCCCCCCCCCCATCAAGCTCCATACGGAATCAAGGCTCCGAAAGATAAACTAAAGGAAACTCTATCAATGTACACCTCAGAGGTCTGTTACTCTGTCATGGTCTGCGTGGATTCACCAGGCCATGAAAGAGCTAAACAGAAAATTCATGTGTTCCCTGTGAATTAAGTTGCCATCTCGCAGCAGGAAAAAACGTACAGAAAAGAACAGGTGCATGTGCAAACCTCACAGCCATCATGTGCCAAATAGGTTTACCAACGTGGGAGGCCAAATGATGTTAGAATTGCTAGCAAACGGAAAACGTACATAAGTCACCCTTTCTGAAAAGCTGTGGGATTTGTTCATTTTTCATTCACACCACTCTCGTCTTCCTGTCCACATAAAAGATGACGGGACAGGAGGAGGATTCTTTAGAAGGGGGGGGGTAGCGTGGACGAAACCAGGGTCAAACTAGGGTAAAGCGACACGAAATGTAGTCTGGACGAGACTGTACAAACCCCTTCTATTCAGGCAGCACGCCTAGAACAACTGAGTGGATACAGCCAAGTCCACGTTATTTATCCATGGGAATGAAAATGGAAGTTCGAGAAACACAAAATGGGGACAGCGACGTCAAACGCAAATGGAGACACGTGGAAATGAATGCCTCGACACATAATGTTGAAGAGACTAGCCAAAACTGCCGGTTTCACATTGCTTGGGTGTCTGCTGGTGGCTGTAGACCCCAGAATTGAGTCAATTTTGCTTTTTGTCACAAAAGGTGCTTTGCCATGAAAAATAACTTGGATTGTCTGAATACCAGTATAACTTTCCTTTGGGACAGCTCAAAGGACAGTATGAACGAGGATCATTCAAAGGTGAGGTCGGAACAACAAATAGGTAAATCATTCGAGGTGGACCATATGAACGAGGATCATTCAAAGGTGAGGTCGGAACAACAAATAGGTAAATCATTCGGGGCGAGGTGGACCAAGTGGTTAGAGCGCAAATTTACTGATCGGAAGGTCCGTGGTTCGAACCCGACCTCTGCCTCTCGACTTCCCCTGTCTAGGCTTGGGCAACCTGGCAGTATCCCAGCCCTCGTGCCTCCTTCGTATGGCATGGCAGCTAGGCACCGAAAGGGTGCTACAGCTGGACGATTATTATTATTATTAACACCCTTTAAGTGCCCAGCCAAATGAAACACGGGGCTGAAATTCTGCAAAGCTCAAGCCTAGACAAGTAAAGACGAGATGCCAGACCTCTGAGCACCACTGAGCCATCTCAAGCTCTGAAGTTAGAAACAATTCATCTTTTGGATGGGTATGGGTTAGAGAAGGTAACCAACATACAAGGTCAAGAAATAAGCTCCACAACTGTTTCTTAACGGTTGAACGCTAAAAAACCACTGAAATAAATTTTTCCATAGAAGGCACAGATATTCCTAAATTGGAACAAAATTGCCCAGCCTTTGGTAAGGAGACCCTTGAGAGTAACACGTTTTTGACATATATAGGTATGAACGCACCAACTGAACAGTCTGAGATTCACATAAAGTTCGAAGAAACGGTTCCAAACCCGGACATTTTTGGCGAGCAATGAGCAAATCGATGTCCACTTCTGGCGAACCGCCGTTGTTTACGATGCAGTCTGAATAACAGCCTGGGAAAAAGGACATAAACATACACCTTTTTACGGCAATTATTCATAGTTCGTAAGCACTGCACACACAGGGTGAAGACGAATAGGCATGAGTAGGAGATTATGAGTAAGCATGCAAGAAATACTTAAAACACGTGTGTTTATTTTGTTTTGTGAAGTAAGCAATATGCTGCTCAGTATCCGTACATATATCAGGGTGAAAAAATTCTGCCGTATAGGGAAATCAACATCCCTGGCCGCAAGTATGCTGGAAAACACAAGAGGTACCGTAAAACAATTTTACGAATATCTAGAGGAGACTGAACCAGTGTTGTGAAATGGGCGGGTTACGATTATGACAGTAGTTAAATAAACTTTAAAAAGGGTCACGGTATCAAACAGACTCATTTAGAAGGGTAGCTTAAAGTCACAGTGCCAAAGGATCCACGAAAAGTTCCACTGCTGTGGCACTTATGTCACTATCGAGCAAAACATTTCAGGTCCTCATGTTGTGCAGGAGCTACATAACAACGCATTTTATGCCGTCAAGTATGATGCGTTATAACCAGCACGAGTTCAGGCCACAGAAAGCGACCACAACCGCAACATAACGGTCAGCACCACAAAGTGTGCTGGTGTATCCAATGTGTACTGAGGAGATAAAAGCTTGCGCGGGGAAAAGAAGTGATACGCATCCTAGAAGTAATGAAAGAAACTCAAGGATAAAGATCAATAAGCCTTATTACTTACTAAATTAGGTTTCTGAGATTAAAACCCAACTCTACCGAATGCCCATTTTCTGTGAGCTATTCATATTCCATATGTATGTCATTCTGATTGACAGATTGGCTTGCTAACATCTGTTGTGTACGCACGAGCAAATGCTTCGCCATTGCCATTGCTTCTTAAGTGAATTCAGACAGTTTATACGGACAAGTCCCAAGAGTGCATCTTCCGATAGCGATAGACTACTTAGAAAGTAGTCATACAGGATGTTGCCGACACGACAGCAAGCAAGCCAACGTGAGCAAAGAAAACAATACGAGATTCCTCAGAATTCAGGACAAAATCAATACTATTGACGGTATGCAGTTGCAATAAAAACGACCAAAACCGGCTCTTGGGTGGATAACTAGTGACTGACTGAAGATTTTCTAACCTGCGTATTACATTTCTCTGAACGGTCATGTAGCGAAAAAGTTGAACAGGTGATAACATCATCCAGTAGCACCCACAGAAGATTCATGAGACATTGACGTTGTGTTTTAGGGACAAAATAAACGGGTTGACTATCCAGGAGCAATCAACGCCTGAAGTTTGCACTGAAGCAAACTACGCAAAAAACGAGTGGATTTTGACAGTACTGCTCGATACCTGTCTTTCAACGATAGCCAGCAAACAGGGACCACCTGGAACGTCCGGTGATCAGGGTACACGTGAGATAAACTGAGAAACCATAAACTTAGTGATTCTTCGGAACACCTAATACGTGGACTGTCAAAAAATCAGGCATGATGACTTGATGTTGCCCACAAGGGTTGGTGATGCAGCTAAGCAGTGTTAGAGTGTTCGAACCAACCGAGTTTTATCACACTTTGTGGAGATGCTAGTCGGCAGAAAATGACAAAAGCTGTTACCCTATAAATGCTATATCTGAATAGGATATACAGTTGGCCTTGAAAGTGACCTTAGCTAAATACATCTATCACAAATAATATACCAGAGGGAGTACTAAATATAGTCAAACCGTTTTGGACGAAACAACCAGTTGGTCAGCTATCACCAAGACTTCTTACCTACGGTTGAAATAGGTCTCACAAGTAGCCATAGGGTTGAGTGACGCTCAGTCGTGATATCGACCGGTCCCAAAGTGAGACATGAATGACGACCAGTGGTCACTATTTCGAGGTTTGGAGATGGGATTACCAGTTGCCTATCTGACAAAGATGGAGTGCAAGTAGGGTAATCTGCAATATCCTAATACCAAACACTAGTGAATAAGGTTACATTACTGCATTTTCCAGATTGGATTACACTGACTCTAATCGGTAATCTGGAATTGAAGAGCAAAGGAAACAAGCCATGTCCCCAACATATAAAACCACTAGCTCCTTTACCATCCCCAACTGTCGATTGAGCGGTGGCATAGGCAAAATTCACGCACCAAACATCCATAAAGCCAGTAGTGCAACCCGATGCTGAAGTTGCACATTTATCTTCGCCAGTCACAGTGGTAACGTATTAGTTTACCAGGACTACCCCAAGTGGATATTTCTCCATCACTAAAAATGGAATTGTCCAATTCAGATATCAAGACTGTGATTTGTTGCCCAGCTTACCATTCGTTGAACATGACTGCCATCCAACTAAAGAACTGTTTTCATCTTTCCACGCTTTAACTGTGAAGCGACCAGTAACAGTTACTGTACGTTGCATGCATTACATTCACTGCAGTTTCGATTAACCAACCGATTGGTCCAAGGTAGCGTGTAGACGCATTTCCGTTACTTCTTCGACAAAATCTCTTCAGGTTTCAGGCTTTTTCGATAGATCATAAAGTTGTGAATAGCTTCTGTCGATGAGTGTGCTACCTCCGTCGGGTTACCTATTCCAGTTCTCATACTACAAGATCCGGGGTCCTTCAAGCTCAGGCGGCGCCGACTTATGGACTTACAGATATGAGTACTGCAACAATGCAATTACGTCCTCACCACCCGCATCCCAGTTCGTCCCAGCTGAATTCTCTGTCACACACCCTCACAACATTTATGGTGAGCAGTACGCTCGAATGGAAATAAGGTTAACCAATTCAGTTTTCAAATGTACAAAAGCCCCTTCCCCAAAAAGCCACTTCTGAGTATGCGAAACCCCCAAGAAAGATAGATCACACGGACCGCAAGATTATGGATGTTAGAAAAGGAAACAAACCTACAGGATACAACGAGTATCACCATTGCTGCTAAACGAGAGCTGACTTGAAGATCAGCTTGAACCCGGTCGTAACGAGACCGTTGGCGTTACTTGTGCTTCGTCGCCTTATGATGGTTCGTGAAACACTGACTTGAGAGCAGTAAGCGGGTTTCCGGCCTGGAAGGGGTTGCATTGACCAAATCTTTACACTCGCCATGCGTACAGACGACCCACAATTTTAGGACTACTGGATTTCCAAGTCGCATCCGACTATGTTGACCGGTTTGTTCTGCTTGACACGCTTGCCTATCAAGGAATGCCCCGGAAGTTCGCGAACATAATACGTTCTTTGTATTCTCAGGACGTGTGGGAATATACGGAGAGCTCTCCGAAAAACTTCTGTACACAAATCGGTGTTAGTCAGGGGTGCCTACTCTCCCCATTCCTGTTTAACTTTGTCATCAATAAGGTAATGGGGCGAACGCTAGAAGTTCTTCAAAACTCCGGTGTCCAGAGAACCTCTAGTGAAAACCTTGTCGATCTGGAATATGCAGATGTCGTTACCGCCTTCGAAGAGGAGAAGGCGCAGGTATTTTTTGATGCACCTTGCACCCATAAAGCTTAAGGTCATGATGTACACGCAGTCACTGAGCACACCAGTTACAATCCAGGGTGAGGCAATCGAATTTGTGGAGCGTTTTAAGCACCTTGGAAGTTATATTAGTACCGGATGTAGTGTGACAGATGAGGTCAGTACACGAATTTCCAAGCCTCGGGCACGTTTGCTAATTGGAGACACGTGTGGCATCAAAACGGTATATCCCTCAGTCTCCAAGGACATTTGTATCAAGCTACCCTATGGGGCTTTTTTGTTGTATGGTTGAGACGTGGTCTGTTCGAGCAGCAGAAGTGAAATGTCTTCAGTCCTTCAACAACCGCTGTCTCAAAAGCAGGTCCCGTGTAGGCTGGTGTCGGTGAACCCATAACGAGCCAATTAGAAAGCGAGCGTTCGGTTGTGCAACGGGGACTTCCACTGAAAAATGTGTCCGGCACCTGAAGCTGCGGTAGCTGGACCATGTATTGCGCATAGTGAACCATCGTTTGTCGAAAAGTTGTTTTCCGTGCCCAATTCAAAGTGATACAAGCAGAGATTTGGCCAACCCTTGACCTGGCAGAGGGGTATGAAGGATATTACGAAAAGTGCTGTCGGTGTTACTCGCCTACCAGGATGGGGATTCCCACTGCACCTGGTTGAAGACTCTGCAAAATATGGCTTCTAATCGATGTCAATGGCTTTCGTGTTGTCAGTTACAAGCCAGATTACATGAATGAGTGTCTCGAGGTGTAGGCATCTCGAGAAGTTTGCAGTTAGACAGCAATAAGTTCTTTCCATATCCACCTTTATTCGTTTCTTCACAATAAGGTTTTACAAATAAATCACGGTTGTAGGGCAGCGAAGCAACACTAATATCACGCTGTCCATGAGGATGATGATGATGAGTTGAAAATTACTGGGTAGTTCGAATGTGCTCTTTCATTGATGTCAACCTTTAGAACGATGCCCGGGAAAGTCCAGAAATAGGTCTGAGATAGTGTGTTCTCCAAACTCTAGACAAATGGGCTTTTCAGTTTCGTTCTTGCAGATGTTTTTTGGCACTTTGCAATGAATAAACCTGCATCTTCCTTTGACTGGTGTGGAATAGTCAGCCGACCCCTGAATATGAGTATGTTTTGCTGCGGACCACAGATTCGATCAATGTCGCCCAGGCTGCACGTATTTACGACTCGTTGAGATTTCGGTAGCAATGCCCTTTTGCTTAGGTGAGTGAAAAGCAATTTGTTTGCTTTGCCCTATAGCTTGTATATTCGGGGCATCTTAAGCTGGCGGGACAGTGCATACCACGAGCCGACGGTAACCTTGGAACCAACTGTTGCGACGTATATTCCTCATCCCGTACCCGTAATGGTTACAGTAAAGTGATTGAATATTTTACAACAGATCACCTGAGGGCAACATTCAGGGAATTCAGTTGATAGAAAGTGCATTACTCGCCCAGCGCCCATGTCATTACGTTCGTGAAGGGTGGATCTCCAACTCCTATGGCGCCAGTCAACTGAGTGCGCGGGTTGCGTACTGCTTCGGCACATTGCATCAGTTAAAGGGTGCATTGATTGACTAGCTTCGGTAACACGCTCTAGCACTATTCAAATAGTTACCTGCGCTGACTAAGTCACTCATTTGCATATGAATGAAATGTAAAGGGACTTTGCGATCAATAATGTGAATATTATAAGGTTGATGCAGGATTCCGTTGGAGCGATATTCAGAATATCGAAACACTTTTTCTTTCATAATCTACACAACTCATAGGATTCGTGTCAGCCAATATTGCAGAGCTTATATGAAACTCGGTCTTCCGCGACAAGCATGTGAAAAGATTGTTCAGCAATCAGATATCATGTAAGTTAGATGATAATTCCGTAGGTTGGCTGACTCGTGAAACAAACAGTAAGTAGAATAGAATTCTCGGAAGTTCACCCGCGGACATGAAATGAGCGTATTAGTTAAACACCGCCGATATTTGTCACCCAGGTATTGCTGTAAATTAGTATAGCGGTGATGATACGCACTAAACCTCGGCAACGAAAGTTATTACTTGTTGCAAGGGACTAAAGATTTGGACGAGCATGAAACTATTGACCGGAGACATGGTTCAGTATTGCTGTTGTTTTGCCATGGAGACCAAAGTACATGAAGAATAACTGTCGCGACAGTGACCTTCCGTAGTAAGACAGGATGTGATGACCACGTGACGTTTTCCGTGGAATGTTTCGCTAAATTCAAATTTGATGTCAGCTTCCAGAGATTACAAACAATTTGCCCAATGTTGTATGTCTAGTTACTAGCCTAATTAGGTCAGTTCGTTGATTGCACTTCTCAGGACTGCCATTGAGAGAGTATGCCCTCCTGAAACACAAAATCAACATAAAAAAGAACGAACTGCGGAATGACAGTTGTTACCACTTTATTTTTGCCGGTAAAATCGGGGCGAAAACATTCCGGCTGGCAACGCAGGTCACAGTAGGGTGCCATACGCTAGTGGTACCCAGTGGTGACGCCTCCGCAACGGGATGCAATAAAATCAACGGATTCCGGACTAATTGGGCTTGCTTTCATTCGGTTTTCGAGAAAGTAATAATCTACTTTCGATAAAAGATAACATCCACATAATGTCTTCGTGTGCAACATTATGCAATGACTGTTCTGAAATGTTCGGACAGAATGTTCCGGCAAAAAAAGTTGGAACTTGTCATGAGTGTACGAAAGGAAGAGTGTAACTAACTGGATTGGAAAAGAATTATGGTGTGTTGCTAAAGAGCGGCCTGGTCACTGCCAGAGGGTTCAATCGCACTCGACCGATCGAAACGTGAACAGTCGATAAGTGCGTTGAAAAATGGCCTGTCACTGTGCTGAGGACTAATGGTACCGTGTAACCATGGAAACGTACCCATTTTCCAGAGATATACGTTACAAAATATACAAAACAGGATGGCGGAAACAGAGAAGAGACTTAGATATTTTGGTAAGTGGTGGGGCCTTGAAAGGATTACCTCCTGTGCGAACAACGAACACTTTTTGTACAATCCCTCACTTGAACCGTCGTCAGGGAAATCTAGTGTTTATAGCGCCGCTATATCATCAAACCGCTAGTAGATGCATCGCATCTCACATTTACAAGTACTCTGAAGAAAACACCTAGATATGTCTTCCACTGTGAAACAAGTTGCTTACGTAGTGAACTGAGTCCCATCTCATACGCCCAATCGCCTCCAGTTTAAAGCGGAGTTCACTTATGATTTCCGTGTTAAATTAAATTTCAGTAGCAGCTAAGCACTGAAAACCTGTTTCAAACTTATGAGCAAGCTCAAATTGATTTGATTCTCACAAAGAGACACAAACCAAACCCGTCTGTCAGATGCACGGCTAGCTAAACTAGTATTTTCAGCAGATCGACAAGATGCCATTGGATCAATCGAACGTGAAGAACAACTGCGAATTGGAAGCCTAGTTCATTTTGAGTGATGAAGGAAAGTAACAAATGCAGTGAGCCCTTTCAATATCTATCCAACGGAGCAGAGGATGCTCCCTTGAAGAAACCAAAATCGTGTCCTCCACCAGCTAAGATTTATTTCGGAATCCCTCTGAGGACAAGTTATCCCAGGTGATGCCCGAAACCCCTTTTCCCCGAAGCATCCTCTCGCCGAAGTCATTCCCGTACCTGAACAATTCTTTTCGGTTGAAAGTTGAATGACACGTGAACGGAGCAAAACGACAAGAACCTATGCAGATTTTCACGGTGTTTGCTGCACAAAGATTTTCAGCAGTACAAAAACGTACGTCGGTGCTAGGACAGTTGTGTCTGGAACTACCGACACAAGCAGGTGCATAACACCAAACCTCCTACCGCAATGAGCTCAGTGATGTTGAAGCTACCGCTATATCCAAAATGTCCCACTAATCAGCGCTTATTGCGGACGTAGCTTTACAAGACAAATGCGCCATTTCGGTTTACGATTTGGTCTTAGTTTCCCTTCGGCGCACGAAACCACGTCGAACTGGCTGGCAGGCTCTTGATCGGAAACGTCTGGAGATCAATAATCTAAAAAATAGTGCACACCCTAATCTACGACTCTAACGTAAGATAAAGTTACTTCAGAAGCGTTTCGAACTAGTCGCGAAGATTGCTGAACCACTCCTGCTCTAATGTTCTTACAGGAAAGATATGAAGGATTCGTCAAGTCAGGGTTTTTCTTTTTACTTACCAAGCAAATTCGCGATCATATAGAAGAATGGTTTGGTGAGTTGCTCGAAAAACTGGCAAGCTTCTCCATCTACACGTTTCCAGTTTGAATCCGGCGCTTTGTTCAAACGCATGGCCGAATTCAGTTGTCGCTGTAAGTCCTTCAGGTGCCGCCGGAGGAACTCGTACTACAATCAATGTTACATAGAATACATGTGGTTATTTAGAATGGGAGCGATAACAGAAGCGCACTGATTGGCGAGAAAAAAAAAGGAAGTTCACTGCATGTGGGGGCTCAGATGAAGCAACCAACGAAGTTCACATATAAGGGATCATTCGTGTGCCATCGTTTTCATGGGGTTTTTCACTCCCAGTTATTTAAATGAGAGCGCGAAAGAGAAAAATTGAGTACTCACCTAACCACGAGAAATTCGTGTTGGTGAAACGTACCCACTGATTTTGAGAAATGTTAGGGGTCGTTGGGAGAAAGGTATGATGATGTCATCGCCCACAGTCCCTCATACAGTTGTCCCAATGGGAAATCTCACCATGACGCCAAAGTACATTTGGCAGATCTAGCTTATTATCACTGTCATTATTACTATTACTACTACCATTATTATTAATAATAGCAGGTGATACTTCGGCACCCGTTCATCTGAATGGAAATGAAGTTCCGATTGGAAATTCTATCCAAGTCGGTCTAAGTTGAGGAGACGGAGAACAGTGCAACCGTTTGATCCTTGTCGGGAACCATCACCATTTTGTACCGCCTGATTTGTCAAAGAGATTCCAATCTCCAACATTTGAAAGCGTCACTCAATACTAGACATTTATGGCCATGGGTGGCTGATCGGCAGTTTGTTAACCCGCGATTGCGCAGGACTGTATTTTTATGTGTGCTAGCGAACTTCCGGCATCTTCAAGGTCAAACTATGAATATATATATAT